GAAGGGGGGGAAAAGCTGATTCTCTGCTTGTGAGTTTCCAAGATGCATCTGCTTGCCTCATGTACAGATGTTGGAGTGAATATGTGTTTATATTTTATAGACATGTATGCATTTATTCGGGCAACCTGAGACATCCATCATACTGCACTATATTGAGACAGTGTGGAAGGACCTGAGGATATAAGCACTATGCTAACAGTGGGATAATAAGCTTAGTTTAAGATAGAATACAGCAAGTTATCAGGTGATTCATTTGGAATGCCGAAATCTTTCAATTATAATCCAGTGTTTTAATTTTGATATATGCTACAATATGTCAGATTTCCCCAGTCTGCTTTCTGAGACCCTTTTCTCAGATGAGGATTACATTTTGGCATCCAGCAAATGAATCTGGTATCTTTGCATGCCAAATACCAACATAAATGTGTGCTATTGAAAGAACTATACAATTCAATGTTGGCAGGGAAAAAAAATGCAATTGTGTGTAGCTTTCACTTTAGTAATGGTTCATCCAAGATTAGTCTATTTATTTTGAATCAACTGTAATGTCTTTTCTTTCTTCCCTTCCCAATTTATGGGAGGCATCTGCAGGACCCAGCACTTTTATCTAAATGCTAAAAGCAATATTGTGATACAAGCTCCACTCCTTTCATACACGCATGTCCACATCATGCCACATGTACAAAAAGAGAAGAGCTTGCATCATGTTGGCAGGGAGTTTGCATTGGAATATTCTTTTTGTTTGACCCTGCTTGTGAACACCTCTGTGAGCTACATTGTTTCCTGACCAGATAATTTTGTCTTTTCTCATTTTCCCCTTAGCCACTTTGTCCAATTTCCCTCTCTTTAGATGGGAAATGCTTGTTTGTCATAACGGCCAATTTAAACATCCTTATGGTAAATTTTTTATGGAAAAAATGAATGAAACCATTTCAATGAAGTAGCAATTGGGGGTTGGATGCTAACAGCACAATTCAATTCATGTCTGCTAGAAGGAGATCCTATGATTTATGATTTATATTTATATGTAGACTAAGAACTTATGTACCCGAGACAAATTTCTTGTGTACCCAATCACACTTGGCCAATAAAGAATATTCTACTCTACTCTACTCTACTCTCTACATAGGAATGTGAAATATCTTTTATAGTGTCTGTTTTGAAATATACTTAATAGATATATTAATATCAAAATATTAAATTTAGATATAAAGCATTAAAAAGGAATGTTTCACAAAATATTTGGCTATTATTTCGGCTAAAGAAGTCTAATAAATAAACTAAACAAGTTGGACAAAGCATACCTTACCGGAATGTTCAAGCAGCCATATTCTCCAGAAGATTTGGCATGCACATCACAGATTCAGTCAGGGAAAGCCTTTGGACTGGTCATGTCAACCTTAAAAAGTTCCTTTAATAGTTTTAGGAAGTGTGCATTATGAAGCATAAAATGTTTTGAAAATGACCTTTGGAATGCTTTGCATAGTATTGTCTCTGGAGTGAGAATTTCCCTGGATTACTATTAAAATTAATAAATGAGCTTTCATATTATTAGTTGCATTGAATGACTTATTTAAATTCTGTACAAATGACTTGAAGTAATGACCCTATAAATATAATTTACATTGAATTTACATTTGCTTTCTCTGACCCCAGTTTCTTAAATGCCTCAGAAATTCTTTATTGAGGTGATATAGCTTAACCATTGTGACTCCATTTAACACTGACCTCAGAATCCAACTATTTGATCAGATGTCTCTGTAGATATATAGAGTGCATGTCTGACCATAGTTATACATTCCTTTTCTTTAGATCAAAAGAAAGTGCAGCAACCAGAAATTTCTGTTACAGAAATAACACTATAAAACTTTTAACCTTGGTTGCCATGGAAATACAATTGTTGTCAGCAATTGTTCTGAGACAATTGTTACATGCTAATACAGGCCTTTATACTCCTTGTTGCTGAGGGATGTTAAGGTTGCATGAAGTGTAATTCAGTCTTTATTAACTATGACTTTACCAAAGTTTAGAGGATATTGATGTGCAATATTTTATTGCTGCTCCAGACGTTATAATAAAGCTTAGGGCTATGCTACTGAAATATCTTTATCTTTACTTTTATATAATTATCACACCATTTTATCACCACTACCAAAACAAATAAACAATTTGTGGAATTTAAAGTCAGCTCAAACTATTGGATCAAGTTTCCAACAGTGTATAGAGCATTTTTTCCCCAAAAGTGATGTATCAATATCTAAAGATCTCGGGAAACACTCTCAAGAATGTTGACTTTTTGTAGCATTTGGCTTACAGACTTGAGATGTTGCTGTAATACAATTCTTACCATCCCTAAAAAGCATGGCCAATAGTGAGAGATGTTGGGAATTATAGTTCAACCATAGAAATGCCACAGTTTGCTTCCTGTATTTAGCACCTTAACATTCTCAGCTGATTCATAATATACTGAGAAATAAACCTGGGTACCAGCACACTGGTATACTTGCAATCACTTCAGGATAGGCCAGGTTAGAAAAGAGACACTAGAGAGATTATAGGAATGCTATTATTGTCTTATTCTATTTGTTGTAGGATACGATAACACAATTTCAAAAGCTCTCCAGATTCGCCCTCTGCCCCACCAAATTCCAAACAAATTGGAACAAAAAGGCATGATTATTTTGATTTTTGTTCATACCATTTCCTTTCCCAGGACTAAATTGTCTATTATTTTGCCAAGTGTTCCTGCATAGTTCGTGTGTGTGTGTGTGTGTGTGTGTGTGTGTGTACACATACAAACAGAAGTGGTATGTGAAAAATCACTGTGGAAATGCCTTAGAATCAAATGGAAGTTCTCCACTCCATTAATTTTCAAAAGAGAATCAAAACCATTATAACTATATCATCCCCAAACCCAGCTCACAGAGGCAGACTTTTTTTTTTTTAAAAAAAGCTGATTATTTTAAAAACTGATGATCATTGTTTCTTATCCAAATAAAGTTTTCTGACTATTATACCAACCAAACAGTTTAGGTGTTGCCGCTTATAAAATGTACCTAGGGAATCTGTTTTAGCTAATGGTTCGCAACTATTTTAACACCCTTTTTATTATCTGTCCCATAGAGTTGAGATAACTTATCATAGCTTATTAAAATCCCATACCTTTCAGCTGAAAAAAGCCTGATTGCAATTAACCTACTTTGGATCCAACATTGTTGACAGAATATGATGAGTGGCCTCCTTCTGAGCACAACCAATTTATATCTATACTCCAGGCCCCTTGAGTGATGCTATGGTTGTCCTATTCCAATGTCTGGAGATTGTTTGGGGCAAAATGGGCTCTGACTTAATATTAGCAACATGGACTGGCTGTGAGTATTTAGACCTTCTGAAGATAAAGTTCTTCCATCTCTAATTCTGGATGTGATGGCACTAGCCCAAACAGATCCAGTTCACAATCAAGCTCCTGCTTGAAGAGAAAGTGGCATCTATAGTTTGGAGAGCCTTGCACAACTTTGAGTAGACGTCCAATTACTCCGATTTCTGGACTGGGAGGATCATTGTCACACATGGCCTAACCCTGTTACCTTTTCACAAAGTTTTAAAAACATAGCTATGTACCTGAAGCTTTGAATGTCTTAAGGGCCCCATTACTTGATTTTACTATTAGTCAATTAATCGTCACAAATGCTGTTTGCATGTCAAGCCTGAGAAATCAGGAAATCCAGGCAGTGCAAATGAATATTATTGCAAATTTACGCTCTCTACAATAATCTGAACTACTAATGGCCAAAGCAAATTGGCGCTTGATAAGAGTCAATGGAATACAAGGTGGGCTTGAATCAGATCTCTTGTGGGAACGAAGGGACTTGAGACTGGTGACATGTTTGACCCCTCCCTTGGGCTCAGTGTACTTATTTATTTTGTGGATGTTTTAGTGATTTAATGTTTCTTAAATTGTTTTATAATTTTAGAATTGTAAATTGCCCATAATGAGTTGGGCGGCTATAGAAATTGAATAAATAAATAAATACATACAGTTTTGAGAATCTGGAAAAGTCATTGTTTTAGCAATGTATACATTTATATTTTTCAAAGGACTGATGTAACTCCAGATGATAGCTTATATTTATTGTATATAGTATGGGTTTCTTTATGCTGTTTTGTCAATGAATGAAAACCAGAAACAAATCTGTCAAGATAATTGATCTTTAGTTATCAGTAAATTTAAATGAGCAATTTGCCAAAATCAGTGAAATAATTATTGGATATTATAAATGGTGCCAACTTTCCAATAAGATTGAAAATTGCCCACTTTTATGCAATACATTACATATGATGAAATAAAGAGCTAATGATCATGAAAGAAAGGAAATTAGAAGAATTTTAAATAAGCTGCTAAAATAGATGTTAGACCCACATATTTGCCTCTGATGGTTTGAGTTCATTGCATGTTAATTTTTTGAAAGTTTTGTTTGATTAATTCAAATAATTGCTCATACTTCCATTTGCTCAATTTTATGTACTATATTCATTTACTGTATCTCCCTAAATCAAGTAAAAAGATACTCTAATCTTTTGGGTCTGGTGTTTCCCATATAGTCTATCAGTTTCATTCCTAAATCTAATCTGTCTTCTGAAGTTATACTCCTCTTTTGAATAAGCCAGGAAAATAAAGCTTTAAACTGTGCTCTGAGACTAAAAATGTTACCTGATTGGAAGGTTTGATATAAATGTTGATGACTATATCAGACTATATCAGACTATATCACATTCCTGTGCTCTAAGAAGTAATATTTGTCCAGAGGCAGTATAAGTTTATGGTTGTACTAAGTGCCTTATCCCTGTTTTGAATATATTAGCAATGTAAATAAATGCAAAGCAAGAACAAAAATAACCATGATTCATGAATATCTGTTTCAGTGAAGCAAAGTGAATGTTATTTCTTCATGAAACAAAGCTGACCAGTCTCCTGCATTTTTCCTTTTGTCTTTCTGCAGCAAGAGACGAGAATGTAGCCACTTTCCGTGGCTCCGAATACCTGTGCTATGACCTGTCCCAGAACCCCATTCAAAGCAGCAGTGATGAAATCACACTGTCCTTCAAGACATGGCAGCGCAACGGCCTAATCCTGCACACGGGCAAGTCGGCTGATTATGTCAACCTGGCTCTGAAAGATGGCGCCGTCTCACTGATCATTAACTTGGGATCTGGAGCCTTTGAAGCCATTGTGGAGCCAGTCAGTGGCAAATTTAATGACAACCAATGGCACAACGTAAAAGTGACTCGCAACCTGCGGCAGGTAATGAGGAAAGGAAGAGAACTGTGGTAAAGTTCTGTTGTAGTGAATAAACATAATAGTAAATTAGTAGCTAGAAGGAAGTTGAAAGATGTATATCTATTTGGAGTGGGAGGAGCATCTAACACTTCTAGTAACTTGAGGGAAAACAAGTGCTCATTCATTTACTATAACTTGGCCTCATTGCAATAACTTCATTACCACTTGATAATTTTCTACCTTTCCCCCATCTCCAATTTATTTTAACACTATTTTGTGACTTAACTTCATTTTTATCTCACTTTTCCTTTGCACTTCCCCCCTTCTTTTCCTTTCTGTTTTTTCTTATTTCCTTAATTACATTTCAATCTTATCAGTAATATTCTTGTTGCATTTAATTACAGTAAGAACGGAAAGTATTTTCTGCAGCAGCTTTATCCATTTTCTTTTTCTCCTTTATGTCCTAGTAATTGATTTAACCATTTTGATAATATCATTACTTTAATTCTGTAATGGGCCTGATTCACTTGGACTTTCTTTTGCACAAACCTTTTGTGATGAATGACAAACTGCATTGCTGCACATACCTGAGAATGATATCTGAGCAAGATCATTTCAAGAGAGTTTGTGCGGGTGGATTTTTAAGTGGATTGGGCTGATAATAGTCTTTGTTTCTTCTGTTTCTCTCTATTTTTCTTCTGTATGTGAGGTGCTTATTTTAACCTTATGGTCCTGATACTGGCCGTACTTTTTCCAGATCTCCTTATTTCTTTGCTTTGATTTTCATTATGAAGCTATGCTACTACTGCCTTTGTCTCTATCCATCTTTCCCTGTGATGACTACATAGAGGAGGAACGCTTCTTTGAAGATCCCCTTCCCCATACCTTTATTATTATTAATATTTTATTAATATTTTATAATATTTTAACTCCATTTATTACTTCTTTAAACACACAGCTCTATTTGATACCCTGTTTCCCCTAAAATAAGACATCCCCTGATAATAAGCCCAACTGGGCTTTTGAGCGCATGTGCTAAAATAAGCCCTCCCCAAAAATATTTAACTGCATGCACAGCTGGTCCCCACCATTTCCTCTGGTTACGGTTAGGGAGACAGAGCTGGAAATCAGGTAAGACGGCAAGAGGAGCCCCACCTTGCTCCATGCACCCCAAAATAATAAGACATCCCCGAAAATAAGGCCAAGCACTTATTTCAGGGTTCAAAAAAAAATATAAGACAGGGTCTTATTTGCGGGGAAACATGGTAATATTTTTACATAGATACCCAGACTTAAAGTATCAAACTCTTCCCTCCCTCCTAAAATATTCCCAAGCTTTTAATAGATACAGATGAATATAAATAACCTTCCTTCTGAAAGCTGGTGAAATATATTAAATCACTTGGGTCCATTTACAGCATGACAAATAAATGTTCTATTGTACATACCCCCCTTTTAGTTCTTACTGATTGGTAAATGTTGTGTAGTTTGTCACCCATCATTATTTCAAATAGATATTTTAACTTTTTATGTTCAAACACTTCTTGATTTAAGCAAAGCATTGCATATTTATTTTACTTGCACATATGCATATTAAAACCAATCATTTTATGCTTTTATGGGATGGAAAAACTGACTTAAGGAATTTCTATAATAATAGAAAAGAATAATCCATGTATGTTTAAGGACGTTAACAATCACTGTCAAGCTGTAGGAATATCTTTTTCTCTGTTCTCTCCCCTCCAAATTTAGCCAATCCCCCCCCCAAATAACTGAATTTCCATAGTGTTCTCATATCAGTAGTCTTTTTAGAGAATGGCTTATTTTTTCAAAGGCCATAAGAATTGGAGCCAATCTGTCTTTCACAGAAATTCTATTCTGCTTAAGGAGAGCAGTAATGAAGATGGCCCAACCACATAGTTACTGAAGATGGCACTTCTTAGGGCCAGGATCTGGAAGGGACTTCTCTTAATTTTTAAGAGATTGGCAAAAGCCACTTAAATTAGCAGTTCTACAAATGGTCAGATCCTGAGCCTTGTAGGGATTTAAAGGTGACAACCATCATGAATTGCACTCAGAAGCATAGTGGGCAAATTCACTGCTTGAGCTATTACATTCTGGATTAGCTGAACTTTATGAGTCCAAACAAGAGCTGACCAAGGCATTGGTGACAGCAAGCAAAACTGTAAACGTTGCATATATTTGAATATTCCAGGCATTCTAAGTCTAATTTGTTGCTGTTCAGTCATTGCGTGACTTCCAAGTCTTAAATTATTCAACATTTAACTAGGATTGTCTGTGAGTAATTGCTTCTATAAATTCTTGCAAGCTCACATTTGTAATAACAGAAATAGTATTTAGCAACCTTGCTTTTGCTGTCCTTTATTATTATTATTTTATTTTTTTCTCCCAAGTATCATGACCTTCTCCAGTGACTTTTGCCTCTGGTTTTATTTCTTCTAATATAAAATTATTACTTCATTCAGTCCAAGGTATTATAAGCCTTTTTCTCTGGTGCCACAATTCAAAGACTTTAGTTTTATTATATTTAATTTAGCCTTTCTGATTTCACAGTCATTTATTTATTTGTTTGTTTGTTTATTTACTTTATTTAGAGGTTCACAAAATTAGCTCTCTCACAGTTTTCCTTAGTTTTCCAACTGGAAAATCACACTTCAGTATACCTTTTGATCCATTATTGTAGGTAGGTAGATACTAAGAACTCTTTGCCTATTTTGAGATATCTTTAAAAACAGAACACTTAATTTTGAATCTTGGGGAACACCAACAATACTGCTTTTCTATATTTCCTTTTTCCTATATGTTTTGATTAGTAAGCCTCATTATAACTTCAAAGTGTTCTTTGCTATATTTTTAAAGTTAGTTTCAGTCAGAGCAGTTTAATTTAATTTGCCCATAGATATTTTCGGGGTTTTTTTTAAATTGCATTTGTGTCATTTTGTTCCAGGGAATCAAATGTTTAATTTCTAAATATTGGTATAGTTACATAATCATTACAATAGTATGGTATTAGGCCAAACTCTGGTTAAAGGAGCATCGGACTACAGCGCTACATCTGAAGGCAGAAATTATTTCCCTTGAACTAATTATTTTATTTCATTTAAACTTTCTCATTGTCTGGAAATGGTCATCCTCAAAATATAATTTTAAACTATAACTTTTGATTCATTTTATCCATGTTTCATGCACATATATTTTTACTCACTACAAACTTATATTTTTATAATGGTTGTTCTTTGAAATTCTCTTTCAATTTGATGACCATTTTAGTTAGTGGTATATTATATTTCATATTATATTATTTCATTAAATGATGGGCAAAATCCAAAGTAAAACTAATATTTTTAACTATAACCCAGCTGCCTGTTCAAAATACAGACAGCGGTTGTGGCAATATAGAATTTACAGCAGTTTTTTAAAAATAGATATTTGTTTTTGCTTTCTTATATATTCAGACAATGAACATGTATAACAGAATGAAATAACATTTTTTGTTGGACAACAGCATTCCATTTTTTCTCTATCAAGAAATGCTTCATGGAGCACATTAAAATTATCATTTCAATTAAAAAACTAATGCAGGTTTTCTGTAAGCAGGCATACATGTTTGTATTTTAAAATTATAATTCAAATTTGTTATTTTTGACACCTATAACGTGACACCATAAACTTATAAAAGAACAGCTATACATTCATTTTTAAAAAAAAACATGCATTTTTTTTAAAAAAAGGATGTGCTATATATAAAAAATAACATTTTGTTGCATAGAGAAATCACTATACATTAACTTAATTCAAAGTAGTTTGTGCCCCAGTAAATTTCCCATATGTTTATTTTAACAAAAATGTTTGTTTATGTAAACCTTTTTAATGGTAGAATTGGAAAGTGTCAATATTTTTCACCAGCACTTTCAGAAAAAGGTTGGTAATATTGTTTTTCTTGTAGATACGTTTAAATATGCAGATCCAAATAATAAATATAAAACAAAGGAAATGGTACAAATTCTATGTGCTATGCTTCTCAATCATGTTTTCCAGCATGTGATGAAAGGCTTATTAAAATATTAATTTTCATGATTAAAAATAAAAGAATATGAAAATAGGACTTACATTGCGGCTGCAATATATTTCTGTTAAATATTTTATTAATTTGATTTGATTTTTGAAGCCATCAGACTCCACAGTGACAATTTAAAACAACAACAACACATACATGAGCAGTACTACAGGCTATGTCTGCTGACTGCTGGCTGCCTGCAATTTGGCAGTTCGAATCTCACCAAGCTCAAGGTTGACTCAGCCTTCCATCCTTCCGAGATTGGTAAAATGAGGACCCAGATTGTTGGGGGCAATATGCTGACTCTGTAAAACTGCTTAGAGAGGGCTATAAAGCCCTGTGAAGCGGTATATAAGTCTAAATGCTATTGCTATCAAAAGAGAACACAGCCTACCAATAACTGTTATTGTCCTGCTTTTTCCTTTTCATCAAAATGTTATTTAAGGATGCTATATTTATATTATTAACTTCAAATAGTAAAATATAATAAAATAGTATAAATAAATATGAAACAAAGACAAATTTCTTTGAAATTGTAAAATCTAAATGTATCTGAGCAGGAGATTGAACAGAACAACCTGATTGGCCCAATCTCACCCAACCCACAATCGCTTAAAACCATGTGGAACTTAATTTTGCAATTAAAGGACTGCAGCATTTTTTCCCAATAAATTTTAGACTGGCTGCAGATATTAACTTTTTTTTTTTTTGGTCCTTGTGCAGCTCTACTCAAATAAGTTTACCAGACTATCGAAATACTATGAAAATGATAAAACACAATGAAAACTGTAAAATATATTTGATGAGGTGAATGTACACATTACATTTCCCTTAGTTTTGCTGTTTCAGAAAAAAAAAATACTTGTCTTCAAGTTTGCATAATCAAAGGATTCCAGCACCCATTGGAAAATAGAAGAACTAAAAACTCAGTTATCAACTGTTTCCCCATGTTCCCCCATGTTGGTAAACACTACTCTAAACACTACTAATTAAACCTTTCTTTGAAATCTCTCAAACAAATAAATATCACCAAACTTGGCAGTTTGGAAATCAGTTATAAAACTATCCATGGGTAAGAAAGACAAGTCTTCTCTTTCCTCAAATGACATATTAAATTCTGTCAACCTTTTCCCATTCAATCCAAAATACCTGATGCAAGCAATCTTCATGCCTCCTTCAATTAGGGAAACTTCTCCCCACTTTCCTGAATATTGCAGGTGAGCTACATGTTGTCTCTGTTAGTCTGGACTTTTATATTCTGTATGTCTTTTCTAAAAGTTCAACTACCGTAAAGGAAAAAAAATAACTCTGGGAACTGGTGAGTGCAAAGGAATTGTCAAGCAACTGTCTATACTCAAGAGATAGGTTGAGTTGATTAGAATATCTGAGCTATACCAGAGAGTAGTATTGAATGGAACTCTAAAAGGAGGTTGAAATGGATTGGGAAGTGGGACGGAATGGTTAAAATCACTCATGATGGTTTGTCATTATTTATGTGGGTGGAGAAATACAGAGGGTGAATACATATTTTATTTTCACTTGAAAAGTAAGTATTGTTTGTATCCTTCAAATTCTACTTGGGTTTTAGAGGAAATATCCCTTGTTTCTGAGAATGGTATGGGTAACTAATAGCATAAGAATGAGAAGGGCAGGCAGCTCCCTTCCTTCTAACAATCTCTATGGCATGGATCCCAGACAGTCCTGCTCATGCTGTCCTCTTTTTCACTCTGTGTGTGTCGGGCACCCCATGCCTTTTTTTGAAAAACTAACACTAGACCATTCATGCAATGTGTCATTTTTACTAACCGACTAATGTACTAACACCCTAACGACTCATCTTTGCTTTTGGTTATTTTAATTAACAATCGTTCTGTTCACAATTTTTTAATTTCCTTTCTTCCCCCTTTTCCGCAAAGCACTCAGGCATTGGACACGCTATGGTAAACAAACTACATTGTCTGGTAGATATCATTCTTATTGTCTCTTTTTTTTTGGGTTTGCCGTGTGTTATCTTCCTTTCCTCTCCATCTCCCATCCCCTTTTTTTTTCCGCTTTAAACTTACCTTCCCCTTCTTCTTCTTCTTCTTTTGATTTTGCTATAGTTACCTTTTCTTACTATTTGTATTTTTATATATTTTCCGTAAGACAAAAACAAAGGAAAATAAATACAATAGTTCTGGAAATGGGATTTAATTATCTCTTTTGCTGGCTTCTTCACTTTATCTATTTAAAAAGATTTTTTTAATTCTATTTTTGTCAATATTTTGCTAATCCCTTTTCTTTCTTTTCTTTAGTTTTCCCCCCTTTTTTAATTTGGGGAGGTGAGACTTTTTTTTTTCTTTTTCTGTTTTTCTGAAGGTTTTTAACTCAGCTACCATGTCAGGGCCTACAGTTTGTTGTTGTGAGCCCAGTCTTTCCCCCTTCATTTTTTTTTTTTTGGTTCTAATAACAGTTGTAGGCAAAATTGGGCCAAACTTCCCTCTTTTTTTCTCACTCCATCTTAACCTCTTCATCGGGCCAGCCTCCACACATATTCTTTCTCTGTCTTTTTGAAACTCCACCAGCCATAACCAACAGAAGCTCAGCCAGTTGTTTGATTCAGGGCAATATATACGCTGCATGGCATGTCTATGTCTGGTTAATCCCCACCTCCTTTCCCAAACACCATACTGCAGCTATCTCTACCCATCTGTCCACCAAGCCACTAATCTAACTTTTAAATCACTTACATATATCATTTTCACAACCTTCCTTTCCTGCCCTCCCCCTTCTGTTTTCCATTGACCTCCATGAATTATGGGGTTTGGACTATTTTTAGATTTTTAAAATTTAGCCTTCCTTTCATTTAAGCTTTGTTTTTCTCCTTTTATAGTTTATGGTTTCATTTTTTTGCTTTTTTTAAGGAATGCATGCAAGTGTGAAAAAAACTATCTCTCTCAGGATACTTTGTCCGTCCGGATTTTGAAAAACAGTGGCATGAGTGTGCTGAAGTACAGAGTGTGAGCACGTTTGCCAATTTTTTTTCTCTTGTTTTCAAATTCACTTTATATTTTTCATTTTTGCTGATGTATGGTTGACTTCTTTCTTTCATTTTTTTATAATCCTAATTTTTTAAAATTTTTGTATTTTTTTTTTCTTTTTAAGTTGCAGTACTGGGTGGTGGTGGGTGTCTTCGTAGGCACATAGCATGTTCATTCCATAATGTATTGAAAGTGAGATCCCTTTCCTTCCTCCCTTCCCTGAATGCATGTTCATTTGTGTGCTGTGAGCCAAATAAATACAAAGAAGCAAAATCAAATATATCAACTTCATCATTAGTGTCTTTGCTAACAGTCATAACTAACAATAATCACTACCAATAATGGCTAATCAATCATACTATCAGCTCAGATAAGCGCTCCCGTCCACCAATTGCTCCATTTTCTGGCCTTATTAAATGGAAGCCATCAATGGCAGGTAGAATAGCTTATCTTTTTGGCAGTAGCAAAGTTGAACTAGCAACGCAGGTGATTAAGGTCTTGGAGTGGAGGGACAAAAAGCAGACCAGAAAATGGAACTGAGCTGCAATGAATCAACAAAGATCAGCAAAACCTATCCTAAAAGTTTTATAAAAATAGGGAGAGGACTTGCTCTTTTAAGAACCGTAAGGTCATTGCTGGGAATTTTGTTTTTCTTTTCCTTTTTTTGTTTTTGTTTTGTCCATTGCATTCTTCAAACAGGTGACAATCTCTGTGGATGGAATCCTCACCACTACTGGCTACACACAAGAGGATTATACTATGCTTGGCTCAGATGACTTCTTCTATGTCGGTGGAAGTCCCAGTACAGCTGATTTACCTGGATCTCCTATCAGCAATAACTTCATGGGTTGTCTGAAGGAGGTAAATGTTTCAAATCAACAGCATTATCTTGCTTTGTATTCTTTGTTAAATAACTTCTTTGTCTGCCACTCATCTTTTTTTATTACTATTGAATATCACACTGTATATAACGTTGGCAGACTTAGCCTGTCCTCACACAGCTGAATGAATCTTCCACATGTAAGAGGAAAGGATACAGAAACCTTAAGTTTTGCAGAAATATAATAATGTTGAAGAAAAACCCGCTAAAGCATTCCAAGAAGACAGAAATTTCTGTTTGACCAGAAAACGTTGACTGCTCTGAAAATGAGAGCAAATGGAATGGGGTATGCTATAAAGGGACTCATTGGGCTGGCTGATTTCTCTGTAGATGACATTAGATGAATAATGTATTAAATAAAGTGTGTTCCTTAGTGAAACCTGCTTCACAGAAGTTTTGCAGTTGCAATAACAGCAGTCAAATCAACAAGAGTGATGACAAAGAAGAATTTAACAGGAATATTGGGATAAGATTTAATTGAGGTGGGGAAGGAAAGAGTTGGCTGTTTATGACAGAATATGGCTTGAAAAGTGATGAAAGTTTTTTTTTTAGAAATGAATTACTGAAATATGGGGGAACATGGGGGAATGTTTTAGAGGGAAAAAAAATCCCCAAAAGTTGCGAACAATGTAGTAAAAGCAAATAAGATGAAAAAGGCACAACAATTTTCATAGATTTTTTTTAAAAAAAATATTGGGTGAAAAAGGCTAAACAAAGAGCACCTACCAGGTTGAGTGGAATGGAAATAAAAACTGCAAATGATATTTGAAATTAAGAGAAAAAAAATTAGAGATTTATACATGTGTGATAATGATCCATCAAAGAGTAAAACTGAAATGAATGTAAGTTTCAAAAAATAAGGTGAAAAGGAAGTAATCAATTATGTGAAAATATTTAAAGGATAATGATGCAGGGGTAGATGGGAAAATGTTAAAATATGAATCTAAGATACTTTTGGACTGATGCACAACTTGTTTAACATCTATGCAAAGATTGCATCTATACCTGATTATTGAAATAATGCTACTATTTGCCTTTATTCCCCTCTGTAACAAGGAGTCCTGTAATCACCACTAACATCTTCAATAATCCGGATGCCTTTGCAGCCCACCACTAACTTCATTTACATCTGGCTTGCTACTTTTCTTTACAGCATTAGATCATTCAAACAATCTGAAAAAAAAATAGATGAAGGTTGGCAATCTGAAATAGCCCTCCAGAGTTTCTGGGATTCAGTAGTTGCACATGCTGGGAGCAGGGAAGAATTCTGGTCATTATCCCCTATTCTCAATTGAATCAAATCTATAGAACATGGTTCAAAATCAGACTTGGAACAACTGAATTGTCCCCTTTAAATCCATGCCATTTTTTAAAATCATCCATTTCAGACAGAACGGTTTTTGCATCCAGGCCTTTGAACAGATGATTAATGGTTTAATTTCTAATAACTTTACATTTTATGGAACCCTACTATGTCTCTGCATCTGGTGAACCAAGCTACTTAAAGCTGTGTTAATTTTGCTAATTGCTCTATGTTTATTTGGATTACTGGCACCTGCAGGTTTTGGGATCATGTTTGGGCCTTTATAGTCTCCTGGCTCCTTAGTGGGGAAAATGGACAGAACAGTTTCCTCAGTTAAAACCAATAACCTTGGCAGAAAGTCCTGAATCATGTTTGTCATCAACTCCATCATCTATCACAGCTGAAAGCAATGATTCAGAGTAAAAGATGTTGGCATGTCTAAGATAGCAGTTCTACTGTTAAGCAACCATGTACTATTTCGAGAAGGTGAGGATCAGACCAGAGAAAAAGCATTTGAAAGAACACTACTTTGTTTTTATTATTTATCAAATTTGTTAGCTACCAAAATCACGTTTGTGGCAAACAACATATAAAAATATATAAACAAAATATAAAAATACAATAAATATAACCCTCCTAGATAAATAGATAGATAGATAGATAGATAGATAGATAGATAGATAGATAGACAGGAAGACAGATAGATAGATGATAGCTAGCTAGCTAGCTAGATGATAAATAGATAGATTTGCCTTCAAAGTTCAGAAGCCTCTGGAAACACTCTGTATTTAGTTTTTACTAGAAGTATATTTTCCAGAAGAACCCACTGGAGACAAATTAATCTTCAGTTGGAGGTCATTCCAGAAGGCCAGTCTTATCAGCAAACAGCAGAATTTCCAGGCTTTACCCTTTTCTTGAAAATGGTGGAAATCAATACTTCTCACATGAGCATAGTTGTTGGGCTGACATTAGTGTGGAGATGTGGTCCTGCAGATAGCCAGGTGCCAAACCACAAAGGTCTTTATAGATCAATAACAGCATTTTAAATTGCACTCGGAAATTAATAGGAAGCCCATGCAGTGCCTGAAAACAGTATAAAAACCTGTTCAATAGTCAACTTACAGTATGTGAGCACCCTGCCCTTTATATTTTGCACCAATCAAAGCTTCCAGGTGGTCTTTGTAGAGTGTCTTCCAGTGATCTAAATGGGCTGGTGATGAGAGTATGAGGCACTGTATTCAGATCCTCTCACTTCAAGTGGGCTGCAGTTGGTAATCAGCCCAAGCTGGGCAAAGGCTCTTCTGGCCACAGCTTCCATCTCCTGATCTAACAGAAGTACCCTGTTTCCCCGAAAATAAGACATCCCCTGATAATAAGCCCAATTGGGCTTTTGAGAACATGATTAAAATAAGCCTCCCCCCGAAAATAAGTCCTCCCCAAAAATATTTAAACACAGAGCTGGAAATCAGGTAAGACAGCAAAAAGGAGCCCCATCTTGCTCCATGTGCCCAAAATAATAAGAACTCCCCGAAAATAAGGCCAAGCTCTTATTTCGGGGTTCAAAAAAATATAAGAGAAGGTCTTATTTTCGGGGAAACATGTAGAAAACACCCAAATTGCAGACCTGCTTCTTCAGAAGCAGGGCAACTTCATCTAGAGGCAAAACAAAGGGCATAAAGCACACCCTATATATAACAGTACAAGGGACGCGGTGGCTCAGTGGCTAAGACGCTGAGCTTGTTGATCGAAAGGTCAGCAGTTCAGAGGTTCGAATCCGAGTGCCACGTAACGGGGTGAGCTCCTGTTACTTATCCCAGCCTCTGCCAACCTAGCAGTTTGAAAGCACATAAAAAATGCAAGCATAGTGACTGGTCTTTATTTCAGCCAACAGAAATTATACTGAGCAAATCCAAAACTATCTACCAGTACTGTATAATGGATGATTTGGTTACTCTTATACTTTCTGATTTCCTACCCATTTTGGAATTTAATGATCCAGTACAGGTGAAATCCCTCTCAAACCTTTGTATAGCTTTCAAATTATGCTGAGATTTGTAGTTATTTTGCCCGAAAGAGACTTTTCATACTTTTTTAAATCCAAAGGTTATAGCAGTTTGTGTTCCAATTCTGGTATATGTGTTTTTAAAGCAAAAACCAATAACCTATTGAGAATGGAAGGTGAGGGTGAGGGGAGAAATTAGCACCAATCTATGCAACAAGAAATTTTTTTAAAAATCTTCATACTGTGGTTGGTTTCAGAGTTTTGAAAGCAGTAGATGAGTCTTCACTTTGTTCCCTGTCTCCCATATATTTAAGTTACTGTAGGCTGGTATAATGTGCCATACCTCCAAATGACAACATGCAAAAAATACTGCATATTAAAGAAAAGTATGCACAATCCCATTGATAATTGTATGAAGTAATTTTTGATTTTTCTGAGTTGTATGTGCCTCATATTTAATCTTTTAAAAGATATTCAGGTCAATATTTTCTCTGTTTTGTTTTGGAATACTGATAGCTGCCTTGAATCTTCAAAATGAGGTGGGTCAAACGTCCAACTGAATATGCTTAAGGAGAGAATGCCACTAATAGCATCCACTTCAAGTACAAATTAGTTAGTTCGCTATCACAATATGCAGGAAAATTTCTGCTGAATGAGTAACTATAGGTGTTGCACAAAGTATCTGAAGGGCTGCTTTACAAAGCACATTAACGTAACTAAAGTACGTTGCTGGAGATTTAAAGTACCTATACTTTAGAGTTAAAGTAGCTATACTGCTACTTTGAAGTCAGTCCCTGCTGGCTATGCATGCATATACATGCACAGATACTTTACATTTCTGGTAGTCTCTGTGCCTGGATAAACATACATACAACTAGAGATAGCTTTGAATCAGCTTTGTTAATGCTCTGGAGGATACCCTATTTTAATATTTCATGGAAGACTGCTTCATATACAGCAGGATGCTTTGTGAAGCACATGCTTTTGAATGTTTTGTGTACCGCAGACAAATATTTATGTGAGCAATAAGTACAACAAATGCAACCATATGTCTATGTCACCCTGCATGTAAATCACAAACAGGCTGTATGAATTAGAATATGTATAATACATAGGTATACCTTGCATTAGCATGTATGGTGCTTGGGTGCTTGGGTTTCAAAGATAACAGGATAGTAATCACGATCACAGGTATCACTATATATATGCACTCACATGCATGCATTTATTTATTGATATAATAGCATGATTATGTGCTCAGAAATCTTTGTATTGACATTTGAGAAAATATATTAGAAAACAATGTTGCCTTTATACCAGTTAGACTGTCCATTCAGTTGATGTCTGTCCTGATGATCTTCAGCTACTTAATGTTTCCCACAAGAAGTAAAATGCTTGTGACTTTCCAAAAGCTGCTGAACCACAATTTCCAGCAGCCCAATCAGCCTGCTTCCATAGCAGCATTGTGGGTGACATCGATCCAAAAGGTCATAGGAATTGTAGTTATATCGGGGTGGTGGATGGGAAGAGGAAGTTCTGCTACTGGCTATTATGAAACTGAGCTTCCCTGAATTTTACTTGCTCATATCTGAAAATCGTCAAAAATATTAGCACTGTTTTTAACCAAGAGACTCAGGAGTACTCTGACAGCATTTTTTTTTTTTTGCTACCATAGA